TTACTCCAAATATCAACAGCTCTTCCTGCCCAAGGTCAAAGCCTGGCACCAGGGGTCAGTGTGTTTGTGGCAGCACATGCCCCCTGCTCAGTGTAAAGGTTACGCCCTGCGCTCTTCAGGCCAGGAAATTCTCAGCTCAGGACGGAACTTCCACGGCGGCGTGTGAGAACCTGGGCACGCTGGCTCACGGCCAGGCAGTCTCCAGGGAAAACAAGGAGCCACCCCAGTCTGTCAGCAGGAGCTTACGGCCCCTTTGTGTCCATGTGGGAGCAGGTACTTGAGGTGGAACTTGTTCTGGCTGTTCTGGCATGGGTGGGCTCCGCGGACACCCCCGTGGGACCTCGCCTGGGGCAGTCCTGTGTGACGTGCTCTGGGACGAGCAGGGGGGTTGGACCAGGCGACCCAGTGTGACCCCGTCCAACCTGACCCGGTCTGTGATCCCATGCCTGCCTGGAAGACGAGCCCGTGGGTCTGCAGAGCACAGAGAACACACACGGCAACGTCTTCAGCTGCTTATGTTGGAAACGTGAAAAGGAAAGTACTCCAAATAAGTTTCTCTTGTTCGGAAATACAATGGGCAATTTAAAAACCCCTATTAAGCTTGTGTGTAGGAGCATTTCCCATTCGGGGAGACGACTGGAATTGTTCTATGGAGCTGTATTACGACTCCCCCGAGGTGGATCAATCAGGACCCCATTATGTGCCGAGGTCTCCATCACACGCGCCCCACGGCGCGTCCCCGCCGCGAGCGCGGAGCCTGCAATCCCCGTCCTTTGTCCTGCCCTCCGCCAATTTGCTGCAGAATTGAGGCCGAGGCTGGGATTTGCCATTGTGGCGGTGCCGGGCCGTGCTTTCAGAGCAGTTATTTGCATTGCCTTGATTAGCATGTCACCTGCTTCATTAGCGGAGAAAATGCTCCTCCACAGAGCCAGCCCTTCATGCAAATTGGAGAATGCATGGAGATCCTTCCCCTACAGGACTTTCCATTATTAGCAGAATTGGTAGATTCGGTTTGTTCCTTCCTCTTTGGAAGGTCACTTTCATTTCCACCTCCAAATGAAAGTTCTTATTTAAAAGACAAAGTCGTCGTCTTCCCAAACTTTAACAGTCCTGCTTAATGAAACCTGATGCCAAAGCCAAACTCCAGGTGTGTGCAAGGCAGGTCCTCAGCTTCAATCTAATCCTTACACCAACTGCCACCTGTCACCAAATCATTAATGACGTCAGGGATGCATTTTTAGAGCCAAAAAGTTCCCTCCTGTGCAGGACCTAAACTTTCAGGGCTCACCTGAGCAGTTCCTTCTCACATCCTCAGCAAACATTGCCTCTGCTCTGAAAGCACATGGGACATCACCTTTTCTTACTCTGTCCCTGTTTTCCAGACTACACAGTCACAGTTCTTCACAAACCACCTTTTCCCAAATCCGGACGCCCTTCTTGCTTTCCCTTGGACATGCACACACCATTTCACTGAAGGTGGGACCAGGTCTCCAGAAGGGCTTTGGGGGCACAAGCCAGAGCAGAACAGGCACTTTCTCTACTTATCCACACCCTGCCCTACACCCAGGAATGAGCCACCTTCATCCACAGCAGCTCCCCCTCTCTGGTGTCCCCTGGATCTTCTCTGGGGGTGCTGCCCAACCAGTTCCCCTTGCTCTCCACCGTCACTGGCACCAAGAGGAGCTGGTTCCTCCTGGCCTCCCCAGCACGTGGGCTCTGCCTCGAGAGCACAGCCGCTCCTGGGCCCTGGCTGTGGTCTGCAAGTGCTGCTTTTGTTCCTCGAAATTGCCTTGTGATATTTGTAGCCATTCCACCCTGTTAACAGCACACACCAAACTGACACTGCGGGAGGACTCCCCTGTCTGCTGTCCCTGACGTGCCACTGCAAACCTCTCTGCAGAGATGGACAGTGAGAACTATGTGCCATATCTTACAGCATCTCCAGAGGTGATGCTCCCTCTCCTGAGCTTAAAGAAACTACAGGTATCATTACAGATGCCTATCTCATGTTTTGGAGGGTTTTTTCACTTCAGAGTCACACAACTGTGAATAAGGCTTTTTGTGATGTCGATACTCAGCTTTTGTGGAAAAGAATACCCCAGTGTGGAAATTAAACAGATCCCTCACACAGCTTTTCTTTGAGATCAGGAAGTTGCCATGAGGTGCCAGATCTCCATCCAGAATGGGAAAGTCCTGACACAGCCCTGACCTCGGAAGCTGCAGGGTCAGAACCACCACCAAACCGAGGGGGTTTCTGGCCGTTCCTCGCCTCTGCTGCCACGATGGGCAGAGGAGTTCAGCCAGAAAGAAAAGTCCAAGAGAGTACTGAAAACCAAAGAGTGCAAGAAGAAAGAGGAAAAATGTGATAGTTATGTGTGAAATGTCATTGCAATAAAGACTCTGCAGAAGCAAAGGACCTGTCAGTGGGCAGAGGGGAAGAAGACACAGTCGCCTTCCTCTGCTGAGCAGCTGACACGGCTCTGCTCGGGCCAGGGCTGCAGTGTGACCACAGATACCGTCTGTGCCACCCCCCCAGAGCCAACCCACCTGCCCTACACGAGTGCATCCCACTGCCAGGGCGGTGGCCGTGCTCTGCTTCACTCACCACTGCAGCTGCACCAGAGGCACAAAACCTCCCTCTTTGCATCTCCCCACCCGTGCAAACACCAGGTTCCACCCCACTGCTTGTCACAGGGATCACTGGGCAGGCCAGGGCTGTGCCTCGCTGAGGCACCAGGGCCTTTTGCCTTTTTAAGGTAAAGATGAGGCAATAGTGCACATTCCTTTGGGATCCCTCTCGGGCTGTGCACAGCCACCTCCCTCTCACCTGACCGCTGGGCACTGCGGGAACCTGACAAATCTGTGTGTGTCTGCTCATCCCTGGATGGCAGGAAGGGAAGAAGTGAGTCAGATACGTGTCTCTGCTGCTCAGGGAAAATGAAATCTTGTTCCTCCATTGCACAACCCCGGTGGCAGCTGCATCCGTCACGCTCCCTCTGCATACACCTTGCTGCAGAGGGAAGACAGATTTACCAGGAGATATATATGGAAATACATGTGATTAAGAAGGCCCAATCTCTCTGATAAATCTCTGGCTCGGAGACGGCTGGTCAGGCTGCCCTCCTTCCCTTCCCTCCCGCCGCCTCCCGTGCCCTCATCCTGAGCTTTCCTGATGACCCGTGGTAGGGACACGCACCCACCTCAGACAGTTGTGTGCACTTACCAGATTAAAGATGATTAATTGTACCAGGTAGTTCCTGCTACATCTTAATCAAATAGACATAATCAGCAACACTCCTGTGCACACCATACTTGGAGCTGGCAGGTTTTTTAACTCTCTCAGACTCCAGCCTGAGGACCACAAGCCTAAACTATCAGTGTGAGGTATCCCCAGCCGGGGTGACCGCAGGTGAGGTTCCCTGGGTGCCAGTGCCCCTTGCTGCTGGAGGAGGAAGGACTCACTCTGGTTTTAAAATAATCAACCTCTGCCCCTGTGGGCTCTGGGAAAAGCCCCGTCCTTACCTGCCAGGCCCCCGCGACGCGTGGGAAGCGCGACAGCCACCGCCACACACCTCCTCGGAGGGACACAAACCACCAGCAGCCTCTGACCGTAGAGTATTTTGCATCATTTATTTAAATACCTATATTTATGCATTTACAAATTTTCATAGCTCTGTCTGTAGCTTTTTTTCTTTCCTTTTTTTTTTTTTTGTAGACAGTATTGCAAGAAGTCAGCTTCTGTAAAATGAGGTCCATGTATAAAACTATGCAACAGATTGGAGGAAAAAAAAAAACCAAAACAACAACCCGACAAGTTTCCTTTCACACTCTGGAGAATCAGAAACCAAAGTAAGTGACTGAATGGAAAGGGAAAGGGAGAGGAAGGGGTGGGACAGACCAGCCTCAAACCAGTGGCTCTCACACAAGCATTACACACGTCAGTGCTCAGCTACAGGACACGTTTCAGTCGGTGCAATGCCTGTTTGCTAAAGCTTTAGCAGGCACGTAGGTCTCTAATGAAAAAATAGAAGGAAAGGATCCTACACACTGAGAATGCAAAGCCTGGACAGCCTCAGGATCGGTTTTGGGAGACTGCACCGACTTGCCAGCAGTGCATCCTCATCCCAAACTTCATTTTGCATAAAAAGTTCCCTTTAAGAAATCTTAGCATTTAAAAAACCCGGTGTCTGAGCTCTTCTAGCCTCAGTACTCTAAAGAAGTCTCTTGAAAAATACCTCCTCTGCTTTCCTCATTTGGAAGCTTCAAAATAATGTTTTGCTTTACCTGATACCAATTGAACAACTCACGGAGTCCCAGCGTTATCTCTGGGAGGAAGAGGCAACAGATATGGCATTGCAAGATATTTACACACATGGTACAAAAATGTCCAAGGGTATGAAAAATCACCAGTTACACAATTTTGCAGCAGCCTCATTTACACCTGTAATTTTATACCATTTATTACATTGTACTAACACACCAGATCCAAAGATGTGCACTCCCTTTAGGACATTCAGGAGTTCCAAATATATTGTGATTGCATAATTCATATTGCACAATTGTATAAAAACATAAATACTAGCTATTCTATTTTTTCTTTTAAATACAAAATACATGTCACATAGTCAAATAATCTTTTCAAGTGCAATTCAGGTGCTCTCTTTAGTCCTTCCAAGAAAAAGGCAATTTTGATAGTTTTGGCACAAAGTTTAACCTCTGTCCCGTGCCAGCAGTTCTAATTACACTCCGTACGCCCCAAGCTGGATAGAGTAGCAGTCATATACATACAGTATAAAACCAGGGTATTTACAGGATGCACAGAAGGTACAGGGAGCAGCCTCGTGTGGGCCCGGAGCTGGGGGATGCTTTGGGTGTCGGGGAGGGGCCGGGACCCCCTGGCCTAGGCCGGCTGCTGCTGCAGGTTCACATTCATGGGCGGGGGGTGGCCGAGGAGGCCGATGCGCTGCTTCTGCTTCCTCTGCTCCGTCATCTGGAAAATTAACAAGTTTGCTCATTAGGCCCCGGCGCTTCCTGTGTGTCAGCTCGTCCAAGGGCCGGCCCTGCCTGTCGGGGTTGCACTGCTAACGGAGCAGGGGCAGCTCCAGCCCTGTGCCCCCTCGGGATGGCCGGGAGCCCAGCCCTGGGCCTGGCTACTGTTCTGCAAGGGAAGGGCCCGGGAGCCCGGCAGCCAGCGGGAATTAGTGCGCAGAGCAGAAACCTCCCCCGTTAGAAATTCCTTGTAACCGGTCCAGCAGCCGAGGCAGACGAGACGGAGAGGGCGGAAAAAAGGGGCGAGCCCTCCAGTCAGGCTGGGAATACCCTTGCCTTTGCTGGAATAGACTTCAGCGCTCCCAGTCTCATCCGGAGCGAGCCAACATCCCTCCCTATCTGCCAAAAGCCAAGGCAGGACTTAACCACCTCACTGCCAGGCAGCCCCACCTTCATCACTGCTTCCCAGCAGATAGAATGTTCCTCTGATCAGGGCAACCAGGAATGGAAAATGGTTTAGGTTTGTTATTACTGATCTTGAGAAATGGTCACAATCCAATGCTCCACTCTGGTTTTTTAAAAGTTTGGGAGGTTCCTGACAACTTACATAAGCCGACGGGCCATGTAAGGAACAGCTCCGGAGGGAACAGCTGGATCACTGCACAGCTGGATCACTGCACAGCTGGATCACTGCACAGCTGGATCACTGCACAGCTGGATCACTGCACAGCTCCTGCTGTGACCACTGCTTGGCTGCAGCAGTATGGGAGGGGATGCCTTGTCCCTGGACCCCCGAGGGCACAGGGCTCCCCCAGAGCCCTGACCCCCACAGGGCTCAACACCCCACAGCACGTGATCCATGGTGGAATGGAGGCAGCGTGCACCAACAGCCACACTCACATCCCACTCCTGCTGCTCCTCCCCTTGGGCTGAGGGTGCCCAGCAATTGCTTCTCCTGCAACATCTACATCCACCATCTAATTTTTCAGTTTTATGATACTTAATGACAAATGTCAGCCCATGTAACTGCTTGTGGCAATAACTCCAGGAGAAGGGACATGGTGTGAGCACGTTTGGTTCACCTGTAACACACTTAGAGTCACAAATCTTTAAGGTTGGAAAAGACCTTTGAGACTATTGAGTCCAACCATCAACCCAGCACCACCACCGTGTTTGCCACTGAACCACTTGAGTGTATTTAAAACCCCCACTCTCAGCATTGGTGGATAGTTTCCCATCTGGTGCAGGGTATCCTGGCATGCCAGGTGCCTGACCTCGGGTCTGGAGACCATTGTGAGGAATGGAATTGGTCCAAACAGGCAGTTCTGGGCAACCTCCAAAAGGTCCCTGCATGTGCGCAGGCTGGGCAACGCTGTGCACCCCACGGCTCTCACTCTGTGTCCACTGACACTCATTTAACCACCAGGGAAAGGGCAGAAATACCTTAATTCCTCCTAAGACCATAATTAAACTTGACCTCAGCCCAGCACCTTGCTCGCTGCCTGACCCCAGGGGAGGCAGAGCTGGTATTTTCCCTTTCCAGCAGGATGACCGCAGCCTCCCGGGGCCAGGTCGCTCCTGCCGCTCCCCTGCACCACACTTCTGGAGTTCTCTTGCCACAAAAGGCTTCCAAGGCTTCACAGGGAACAGAAACAGGAGGAGAGGGACCTTCCCATTGCTCCCTGGAGACACACAGGCTACTCCCTGCTGAACCTTCAACCATTCCTAAGATAACTCACAAGCGGGAATGCAAAGAGGCCACGAGGACTTGGTTCAAAATGCCCATTTACATTAATTAGCTTCACTGAGCAAACCAAGAGTCAGCACTTCACACCACCAATAAAGTAATTCAGAGGACACACGGAATGAAAATGGAAAGAAAAGAGAATAATGAAAAGGGACTGTAGCGGTTATTTTTCATGCTGTAGAAAAGGGACAATGCACCCTGATGCAGCTGTTTGTAGATGTGGCTTTAAAAAAAGGGAAGAATAAAGCAACCAAGCATAAATAAGAGGGAGAAATGCAATTGTACTGTTAATGCAGAACATTATTAATGCTGCACAACACATATGCTTGTGTGGAGGGCACAGGGCAGCGGGAGGGAGCAAGTTACTGCCATCACATTTACCTGGAGAGTGAATCTCTTGCAAAAGCTTTCCAGTGACAGCACACCTGGGCTAACAGGCAATAAAAGCCACACACAGTGTATCTCCAGGGAGCTGCCAGCCCCTGGAATAGTGCTGATGGGATCAAAACACAGCCCCAGGGGCCTGGGGTTCATCTGGGCCGAGCTGGACTCCCCGATAACGCCTGTGACTGCACAGGGGCCACGGCCCCAATCCAAAGGTCACGGGTGAGCTGGAGCGACCTGCAGGCACAGGGCACAGGTGAGGGGCACGAAAGGATCCCAGCTGGACTCCACGTGCCCACGGTGCTGCTCCAGCCCGAGTCACAGCTGTGCTGCCACAGCTCAGGGCTCCCGGGGGTGGGGGGGCCGTGCCCAGCCAGGTCGGAGTCCAGGAGCGATGCCTCACACCTTCCGACACCGGAGCCGCACCGGGGAGGATTTCTGGGTGATTACATCTAATCCCCTGCTGCTGCAGACAATTCCGGGGTAATCTTTTTGCACAGAATTAAAGCGATCAGGATTTTAATGGCTCTGGGTGCACCCTGGGAGAGCAGGCGGGCTGGAGCTCCGGTTCTGACAATTACAGTCTCCAGGAACCTAACGAGCTTGAAGAACAAATGAATGAGAGGTTTTCCCTTTATTTAATTACAAGAAAATAAATACAAATAAAAGTTCCCTGAGTTAGTTCCTTTTCCTGGAGACAGTTCCTGATCAGGAGGAGGGATATACTGGCTTTGGCACATAATTGGAGCATCCTGCATCTTCAGCAGGGCTCTCAATAATGGTACTTAGGGGAATTCCTAAAAGCTATCACCACATTAACGAAGCTGGTTTCCTCTCTTGCTTTTACAGTCAAATAGCTCTCTAAAAGCTAAACCCTTCATTCTTATTTTCACAAAGAGCGAGAAGGGGTTTTAGTGCTTGGTCAGCCAAGAGGGCTGCAAGCTTCAGAAATAAATGTGTCGTGAGCCAGCGCTGGCTGCGGCCGGTGGAAAGACTCCTGGTGACTGCAGACCACTTTGAGTCAGACCCTTCAGCAGGGAGACACAAGACACATGTTTCAAGATAATTGCTTCCAGGCAAAACAGCAAAACCACTGCCCGGCAAGTACTAAAGCCCAGACAAAAGAGCAACTGCCTCTGCCCTCCATCCTCAGACCAACTGGAGCAAGGGGCTCTGTGGCACAGTGCCTGAGAACTAATTACAGCCCAGAGCAGCGAGGCTGTCTGCTCCCAGTCCCACATGTTAATCCCTTCCTTGTGCTCCACGGGGTGTTCGGGAAAAGGGCCCAGCTCCGTCCCCACTGCAGAGTGTGATCGGAAGGCAGGGAGCTGGGATCTGTCAGCACTGCCTTCCAGAGACTCATTCTCCCTGAAGATAACTGGCTTATGGAGCACCCCAGCCAGCCCGAGCAGAGATGGAAAGCAGGGGCTGGATCAGCACTGGCAGAGCCATGCCAGCTGTGCCACAGCAGGCAGGGCACATCTGAGGAGATAATGCCCAAAGCTGCCTGGCCTTTCCTGCCCTGGGCAGCTCCATCGACTGCCCCAGGTGCAAGTCAGCAATTAATCTTATCCAGTGCTGATACCTGTATAAATGTAACTAATTGAACCATCTGGCTCAGGTTATTAATGCACAAAGATAAGCAGCCACCACAAACAGCTCCCGCCAGCGCAGGCAACAGCATTTTCCCTGTTCCTCCCCGTTAAGCTGCAATCCCTACGGACAACACGAGCTCAAGCCCTGCTGCCTCTGTGGCTCTGACAAAGCCATCGCTGGGCTTGGGCTGGGAACCAGCCCCATGATGCCCAGCCAAGCCAGGAGTAAACACAAGTCCTCAAAGCCCTGCTGCAGAAAACCTGCTGCACCAAAAAAACACCCCGAGGTCTGTGGAGCACTCACATGTTACGCAGCAGCAACACATGGTGCAATGCAAAACATCTCGTGGGGATGTCTATGCTGCAGGCTGGAGTGTGGCAGCAGCCAAATCACATCTGCAGTGGCAGTGACAGCACAGAGGGACCAGCACCAGTAACCACTCGAGCGCTTCTCCAGTTTCTCGGTGGGTTTTGAGGTCCGTGCAGTGACACAGCCCCTGTATCGGTATCACACCCTCTGACTGACAGGAGCCTGATAAGTCCTCGGGTTAAAACCCCAAACAACAACAACAACAACACACACAGAGGCTCCCTGCCCCAGCCAGGACTGATTTAAATACATCAGTGGTGATTTTTTCAAGGCAAGTTTTCCCTCTGTGGAGGTGCCCACTTTGGAACACGCTGGTTGGGTCAGCACCAGGCAGGTCAGCTGGGGCACGGGGCACTGGAGGGACATTTGGTTTGTTCACTTCTTTCCTAAGTTACTTTAAACAAGTTGTCCCTGGGGTGTGCAGAAGCTGTGGAGCTGTGAAACACCCCTCGGTGTGAGAGGCTGGCAGAGCTGTGTCCTGCCCCCAGGGATGTGAGGCCGCCCATCCGCTCCCTTACCTGATCCTTCAGCTCTGACAGCTGGCCAGAGAGGTTGGTCACGAGCTTCATGGTGGACTCCAACTTCTCCTGCAAATTCCTCAGCTCGTTCTGCTCTCCTTCTGAGTCACTGCTCACCAGGGACATGGCCCGCATCCGGGGGAACCAGTCCAGGTTTCTCTCCTAGGAATCAACAGCAGGTCACAGTTAGTGTTTACCAGGTGAAAACCTGCACCCCAGAGAGTGCAGGGCTGACACAGACAGAGCTCTAATGACACACGGGGCCATTCCTTGGATACACAGCTCTGCAGTTTCTGAGTTAACTGCATTTGCATCTTACTGGAAAGTTTGCAAAATCGCCTGCTTGGGGCAACGAGGCGCTGCAGCCACGACTGCTGGAAATTAGGGCTGCTCAGTGCCAGCTTCTCCTCCCAGCAACTCACCCCCCAGCCCTTTCCCCTTCACAGACACTTCAGTATAAATACACTAACTCTGGATATTAAATCAGCCCAGATTTCACGTCTGGACAAGCATTTCCCACTGCTAGAAATCCACTGCCACCTTGTAATCTTTTCATTTGTGTTTATGGAACATTTTCTGCTAATAAAGCTGGTGCGCTTTTTTGGTCAAGCAAAGCTTGGTTGTGCTTTCTGATGAAAGAAACCTTGTTCTTCCTGGAAATGCTTCCATGTTTGAAATACTTCCCTTTTAATGAAAAAGAAAATCATAATCTGACTGGTTCAGGCTAAAACAGATACGTCACAATGTATCGCTTATAGTAAAGTTTTCATTCATCCATACTAATATTCTAATATTTCACTTTGCAGTTACTGTTGGGAATGTCAGTGGACACACACTCAGTTTGATGGGCATGTACAGAGGCTCACACATGCACTGTGTACATGCCAGAGACGTTAAAAATAAAAGCAGGAGCGGAACAGAAAGCCACAAGAGAGGAGGAGGGGTGCACACCGCGCCTTGACACCTTACAGTTCAACAGCAAACTGGTTTCCCATCTAGTCTGGTTCTCCTCCCACGCTGGAGATATGCTCTGAAATGGAAGCTAAACTGGGGCTGGCTGAGATAAGGCTGTGTGTGGTCTCACAGGTGACACTGCAACAGCTGGTGAGGCTTTAAAGAAAGCAGAGCTGCTGATGGGCGACTGCAGTGACACCATGGGATGCTGGTAACCAAAAATAATCCCCATCGCTGAGTAACGGCGACCAAAGTTCACCCCACTGCGCTGGACAGGCTCTTTGCTGGGCTCAGCTGATTTTTAGGGCATGGTAAACTCTGGCTTTTTGCCATTCCCAGCCTAAATCTCCAGCTTGAACCCACTCCCTCCCCTGTGCTCCCCCATTCCCAGGAGCATCCATCCTGCTTAAAGCAGGGCTGTGCACCTCTCCACAGAGCTACAGTCACATCCCCTCTGCAATTCAGATGCAATGCCAAGACTCATCAGCTTAAATTAGCTGCTTCTGATGTGCCTGGAGTTTCCTCTTGCTGGGATGAGAAGGCAGAAAGCAGGCCCTTTCCCATGCAGGCACCACAGCATCCCCACGTGATACAGAACTGCCAGCAGGGCTGTTTGCTCCTGATCTCTGTTTACAGGGCAGATGGTTTCTGCTAATAAAAGAAAAAAAACTATGTACCAAAAAAATATGCCTTTATCAAGACAAGTGCCAAAATATTTTGGACTTTAGGGAATGCCAGTCCCACAATTAAGGTTTAATAGTAGGAACCGGCAACATTTCACTGCTTTCTTCCAGCTGTAGTAAAACCCTCATTAGGGAGGAGAGGGCAGCTCAGCACTCGTGCTTGGGTCCAGCAGCTCCCCACCCAGGGAAAACAAATTAAACCAACTGTTCTCAGCCCTCTGTTCCTCCAGGCTGGGGGTTTTCGAGGACAAAACAAATTAGACTAAAATGCAATTTGTATTTGTAGGTTTGCCTGGACCCTCAGGCCCATGTCCTGAGGTTTCTAGGCAGACATGAGAACCCTGAAGTGCCTTTCTTGCTCCAGAAATATTATTATTCTCTTCCTTCCCAAAAAGGTGAGCTTTCCAAGGCCATCCCCAGAGCACTCCCAGGCCCCATCCTCAAGAATGATGAAGGGGGTGAGGGGAGCATCAACCTTCCCTACCTGCAGTGTGTTGTTAACAAATACCCAAGCACTTTCAGGGTTACTTTGCAATATAAGCGAATGCTGCTGCAGAGGCTGCGACTCGATCGTTCCAGGCCCCGGAGGAGCTGGGCAGTCTCAGCTGGGGAACTCAAACCACCACCCACAGCTCCTGCAGGCTCCTCACAGGTTTCAGACTCTGGGTTTCTGAAAGCCCCAGCTCTCAAAGTTGGTAAATCTTGGCTTTGATTTGGAAAACCAACAAAGCACCTCTCTAGTTCTCACGGCAGTGGTCAAAGATTGAAACCAAAACTCCATGTGAACTCCGAGGGCTGAGGAAGGAGAATGCTGACGAAAAGGAGACACAGCCCTCCTGGTCCCCTGCTGAGATGGAGAACAGGGCTCACCGTTCACTTGGAACTGGCAATACCCCTGGCTAAGTGCTGATCCACCTGTGGAAGAGTTAATGGGGCACCTGGAAAGTCCCTGTGCAGAGACAGAGTGACAGTGACAGGCCTAGGGAAGGACCTGGACATCACTCTGCCTACCCATGTCATTGGGCTGTGTGTGATCTGCTTCCCCATTCCCATTCCACGTAAGTCATCAGCACCACTCAAACCCAGTATTTATCTGGACATGTCCAGCTGCCACCCAGCAAGAAATAAGGGAGTGTCCCCTCACATGGCCTGGGAAAACACCCTGTGTGAGGGGCCATGGGGACAGGGGTGCAGGTAACGCTGGCCCAGTGCTGCTGCCCTTGGCGGTGCCGGGACCCTCTGGAGAGGGCAGCAGGGAAGCTGCCTGCACACAGGGGCACACCTCCTCCTGCACACACTATCCTGCAATCCCACCACTCCATGGGAAACCTTCAGCCTGTTCTTCAGCCTCCCCCAGCCCTGCAGAGAGGAGCTGGATGTGACCAACCTGCTGACACAGAGTGCGGTCTGAACACCCGTCCCTGGCCCTGCTGGGGGGTCTGGGGTTGTTTTCTTATGACCAAACAAACACTGATGCCTGAAGCAGAGCTGGTGCAAACAGAACTGGGCAGGAATGCTGGGAGGTCAGGGGCTGTCCATCCCCCAGCACTGCCCCGGACAACGATGCCATCCAAGGGTCAATCAAAGATTTATATCTCACAGTCCAGTTTCTGCTGAACTTCAGCTCAACACCCACGGGGCGCCTTTAAAGACACAGCGCCACGACCCTCGCGGCAGCTCTGGAAGCGTTTCAGAGGCACCAAGTGAGCCGTGAAGGGAAGGGCTGCCCCGTGATCCCCGAGGGGCTGCTGGCACCCACACAGCGATGCTGTTCTGCACTGTCTGCTGCGCTCCTGCCGGGGCTCCTGGTGTGCCAGGCTCCCTCTTCCCGGTACCGGCAGCTCCCGCCGCAGCAGCCGGAGCGAGCGGAGCCGCTGCCGGAAGCCCCTGACCGCAAGGGCTGGGTTTCGGGTTAGCTCTTTTCTAGGTAAAGTTGGAAAAGTCCCTCGTGTAAAGCAAATATCGCTCAGTCTCAAACACGGGGGTGATGCTGACCGTCCACGCCTGGAAATGTGAAAAAGAGGAAGCGGTGCTGCATGATGCACATGCGATTCATTCTGAGAAGTGCTGGCTCCTCCCGGCTTCTGCCGAAGAGTTGGTTCTAGGAAAGGCTCTGAGGCAACCTCAGCGTGAGCCGTGCCAGGAGAGCACCAGCCCTGCTCCCGGGGCACGGGACGGTGCTCACAGCAGGGATTGGGGCTCACCCCGCTGCCGGCGCCCCGAGGACTCGCTGCTCCTCTCCCGGGTCTCTATTTACCCAGCTATCCCTGTGCATAACAGTTATGGGGTGCTAAGGGCTAACTCAATGCTCTCCAAAATAAATCCCTACAGCTGCCAGCAGAAGGCTGCCCAGCAGCATCATTTACAGAATCACAGGATCATTCAGGGTGGAAAAGACCTCCAAGATCGAGTCCAGCCTGTGACCCATCCCCACCTTGTCAACCATGCCAGAGCACTGAGTGCCTCATCCAGTTGTTTCTTGAACACAAGCAGGGGAAGGTGAGAGCAGCAAATTTCAGTTTCTGTCATGTGAAGTTAAAAATCAGACCCACACATCTAATAAACAGCTTTGTGAAGCAGTTTGAAAATTAATCTGTTTGTTTGTGGTGAGATGGGAATCCTCCTGGGTCTTTTCTGTCCTTCCTGGAAAAAGCCCCACGTCAGGTTCTTTCTCTGCTGCAAAGGGCTCACCATCACTTCTTCCACACTGAGCTGCACTTCTTCCCTCTGCATAAAAACCAGCACTTGACACTGTCCCTCTGTCCCTCCTCCACACTCAGAGCCTTTTCAACTCCTCACACGCTCCGTGTCATTAACCAGGAGGCTGATGACACAGGGTTTATGGTGTACCAACCTCCTCTGCACTGGTGCCACAGGTTAAATACCTAAGTGCCACTTATACTGGTGCAGAGCAGGGAACCTGGAGACAGACACCATTCCCAAGTGGAGGATGACTGTCCCTGCACGAAGTGATCCTCCCTGGCCATCCCTGGGAGTTCTGCTGCAGGTGACTCACTCGAGCTGAGCCAAGCACCACCCAGCCTGAGGGGCTGCAGGGCACGGCCCTGCTGGGGATCCCTGAAGCTGGGGATCCTGACTCCTGCTGGAAGGACAAGGCCACCTCTCCACACCAACCCCCTCTGGGTGTTTGGATCCCCGCTTGGGGTGGGCCATGTTACACCACCACATTCCAGGGGCTCACGGCTGCGGCACTGCCGGGAGGGAGGCGGCAGCGGTGACTCAGGACAGCTCAGCCCAGCCCGGGACACTCCTGGGCACACACGGCCCCCCGGGGCTCTCTGGTCCCACCCAGCCCCACAGACCCAGCGGTTCGTGTTCCCCAGTGTGTCACCCTCGATGGTTTCCCCTCTCCCAGGCAGGCGCTGGCAGAGCTCCAGGAGCGAGGACACGGCACCCACCCTGCCAGCTGTTTGGGACCCACCCAAACCCCAGCACATCATGCTAACATCCCATTCCCCACATCTAGCCCCAAGCTTTCCTCCTGCTTTCATCCATCCAGGCCCT